ATATCTCTAATAAGATCTTTCTACTGATTACAGTAGAATTGCTGTGAATATTTACATATATTTTAAAATAAGTCCTTATTGCCGTCTAGTTGCAGGCACTGTATAGCAATTCATCTTCATTATTTACTTTCACTTGTTTTCAGCAGCTCAGATCATTCTGCTCCCCAACCAGCAGTGACAGTTTATTTTTGTTCTAAACAATCATTTAAACTTAGAGCAGGTGGAGGATGAGGAGCGGAGTGTTGAGACATGACATGAGCAACTTCACTGCTTCTCTTGCCAACTTTGAGAAGAAATTGCTTTAGTGTCTTCAGTTACCGAGGTCAGTGACGGCTTATTTTTTTTTAAAGCTTATTTACTGCTTGTTAGGAATATGTAAAAATCTGAATAACCACAGCCTGGCTACAGATCTACTTTAACATGACACTAAACTGAGTTGAATCACATTCAAGAAACACATTCAAGTACCTTAACTATTAACAAAAATGTATCTTATTTGTGTATCACTCGGCTGTAGATCCTCAAATCATCTCTGAATTGGTGCTGACACTGTCCTTCCTTCTGGAGGGTGGCTACCTTTGTTCTCCATGGTCCCTGTGTGTGTTCTAAAGTATCCACCGCTCCAAGCTCGCTCCTGTGATGGACTATAATCTCATGTTTAGTTTACTCATTTGAATTGAAGTTGTAGTCTATTACAGGAGCGAGCTTGGATCGGTGACTACTTTAAAACATACTTTAAAACACACACAGGGACACACTCGCCATCTCTTCCTCCAGAAGGAAGGACAGTGTCAGCACCAATTCAGAGATGATTTGAGGATCTACAGCCGAGTGATACACCGATAAGATACATTTTTGTTAATAGTTGAGGTTCTTAATTGCATTTGTGAGATTTAACTTATGAGTTTAAAGTCACTTTAAGACATGTTGCTAAATAGTAAAAAGCTGGTAGACCCTCTACTTGGCTCTTTCATCATCCATTTTAGTGTTTTGCAAAACAGTACTTAAAGCTGGCCATACACCTATAGATTATGATGGAAAAAGTGCAACAGATTCCTCCATCTACGCTAAACTGTGTGGCTGGAGGAATCTCCCGCTGGGCCAAGCTTCGGTATCTTGCTAGTCGGCCCCGTTGGCTCTCAAAACACCTGAACAATGCCTTTCCATCTGACCATAGAAAATCTATAGGTGTATGGCCAGCTTTAGTCTTACTTGACATCGAGGGCTACACGGATAAGGATAACAAGCAATTCCCACCATCAAAAGCACCCTTTATGCTCACAAAAATGTTCTAACTTGTTGGAATTTACAGAGTAACCTAGCCTATCCTTCAGGCAGTGACTGGGAAGGTGGATAGAGATAATGAATTGCATATATACATGTTACTTCACTGTAAACGTCAGATGTTGTTGTACTTTGCTTTAGTGTCTTATTTACTAAAGAAGGAAAATGCGTAATGAAAAACTGGTATCAGCAGCCTTCAGTCAAAGTTAGTGAAGAGCTCTGCGGGTCATACGACACAACATAGTGGAACCATATCCCCACCAAAATCTTCTCCCTTTAATACCCCTAATTTCTTTCCTGATACCTGCTTATCTGGACAGAGAGGTATAGCCTTCAGAGTTTTATTGACTTCATGAAGACAATATTGTACAGACATTTGATGTACAGGTAGAAGTTACTAATAATTAATAGATATCACGGTGGCCTTTATCATTCTTTGCTCCCGTGTTCAACAGAGTTTAACAACAGCACTGAAAGTGAGGCTGAGTAGTTCTACCCAATACAGCGCATTTATAACAGAAACCGTTATCAAAATATCCCCGAGAATTTATATATTTTTTTAAAACCGTCGGTGTTCTATCGAATTCTCCAACTCGTCGAGACCTCCACTCCCGTCAGTGCGTCTGCGCAGCCACCTAAGAAAAGCATCAATCTTCCCCCTCCCTTTTAGATTGTAAGCCCTCGCGGGCAGGGCCCTCCTTTCCATCTGGTCTTGAATTCTATTGTGATTGTAATGCCTTCCTTATATTGTAAAGCGCTGCGCAAACTGTTGGCGCTGTATAAATCCTGTATAATAATAATCTGCAGCTGTGCGCTTGCGTGGGCACCCGATTCCACAAGCACCGACGGGCATTGGAGAACCCGATGTCAATTCCGAAGCAGCACAGACGCACCTACCAGAAGTGGAGAAGTCAACGCACGCGCACCAGCGCCATCTCGCCATAAATGTACAACGGATATGATGTCACGAGTTGGAGATCTTGAATAGTTGGAGATCTCGACAGAACACCGGCACCGAATGAGTTAAAAGGACCTCTAAGTGCAATCTCTAACACAACAGGCACGGACCTGTCTGAAATAATTACCCGAGACGTACGTACAATGCATATACCAGCTGTTTATCTGAAAAAAATATTACCATGGAAATCACAAACTGTTTAAACAAAATCGAATTGAACTGTTTCTACAAAATCTTTGGTTCATGTACAGTGCAAAGGCCTGCCAAATACAAAGAGGATATTCAGCGTTTTGCTGGTGACAGGACAGTGTGAATCTTACAGATATGTAAACAATGGAGGAAGTTGCTTCTGCTTGCATAGATTTGGGCGGATGTCTGTCAGAAGGGGTATACCGGACTAGACAGAATTGTATATACAGGTGAAACTCGAATAATTAGAATATCGTGCAAAAGTAATGGCAGTAAGTGCTGCAAAAGGGGCCCAAACCAAGTACTGAGTACATATGCATGCTTGTACTTTTCAGAGGTCCGATATTGTTCTATGTACAATCCTTGTTGTATTGATTGCATGTAATAATCTACTTTTTTGAGGTTGTGGATTTGGGGTTCTTGGGGTTTTCATGAGCTGTAAGCCATAATCATCACAATTATGACAAATCACGGCTTGAATTATCTTGCTTTGCATGTAATGAGTCTATCTCATATATTAGTTTCACCTTTTAAGTTGCATTAGTGAAATAAATGAACTTTGCACGATATTCTAATTATTCGAGTTTCACCTGTATTTGGCGTACTTGTATACTTGGTACACAGTAACTACAGCGACAGGACACAGTATTACATTTTTAAAAATTAGAAAATTGATTTTAAAAAGTACATTGATGGCTATCCGGATGGGTCGGGAAACGCCGATACAAACGTATAAATCTGCAGCATTCTATTTCAAAGAAATCAGAAGGCAAAACCTTTTTTTTTTTTTTCAGATTATATAAGGCAGGGTCTGTTTTTTTCTTTGCCATCTGTGCGCTTCGGGAGAATTCTATTCACTTCCTGTCCTGTGGACACAATGGGAAGAGAAAAGCTCTCCCTGGGTGCCCTGGCAGCCCGTTTACAGGAACACAGCGCACGTTAATGCAAATCATAACACTCGTCGTAGTGTTATGACACACTGCCCTGGTGTGAATGTGCCCCGTGTTCCAGTGACAGCGGACACCCTGGGACATAGAGAGAGCATCTGCCCAGCAGTGACACAGACAGCAGTAAAAACCGCTCACCTGTCTATCTGAGACACAAACAAAAAAAAAAGGTTTTGACTTTAAATACACTTTAAATAAAGCCCAATCGAAGCCTCTGAATGTGCTCTGCGTCACACATTCCTGGTGCATCAAAACAAAAGGTGATCACAGTCATATAGTTAATTTTCTTTCTAAGGCCCCGTTCCCACTGCGCGATATGCAAATCGCGCGTTTGTCGCGCGATTTGCATATTGCGCAACATCGCGAGATTTGCTGCGCGATATCGCGTTCAAGCTTGCATTGAGCAAGCTTGAATCGCGGCTAAATCCGCTCCAAAAAGGGTCCTGCTGTAGCGACACACGACCCGCGACAGCAGGACCCTTTGCCCCATTGAAATGCATTGGAGCGCGATATCGCGCGGTAATTTGCCGCGATATCGCGGGAATTACCGCGCAATAAATTGCTCAATGTGAACGGGGCTTAAAGCAGCTAAAGCCTGCTGCTGTCAGCAGCTGCAAAGAAGGACCCTCGCTTGCTGTCTGGAAGCAGTGGTCTCTCTGCAGAGGTCCAACATGCCCCCTTATGTGTGAAACCTAAAGTCCTGCAATCAGCAAAGCTCACGATCCCTGATTCCGATTGGAGAGCTCTAGCTCAGAAGTCAGACCTCTGCAGTCAGACCACTGCTTCCACACCACAGAGAGCAGCATACTGGCAGGACATGTTCTTTTCTACATATGCTACAGATGCTTTCGAAAAGAAAACAAACTAGGATTTGGAACACGTTTGGTTTTGATAACCTGGAATGTATTTTGCTGATTTCAATTGAGAGTTCAACTGAGCTTTAAAGCTGAACTCCGGAAACAAAGACTTTCAGTCAAATACAGTAAACTCCCCGTTATCCAGCATGCTCGGAGATTGGTAGATTCCGGATCAATGTAGTTTCTGGTTGCTTGAGAGTTACTATTAAAAATAGGTCTAACTAATGCCAGACCCCATACTATACCATTTAATAAAATCTGCATTGACTTCATATTAATATTGAAATGCAGTAATCAAAAGCAAATTAAGACAAATAGACACACTTATGACAGATCGACACACGATCATTTCCAGGATAATACATGTCGCAAAACACTGAGTACACCACAGATTTTTTTTTCCTAGTTTGCTGACTACCGGATAACTGAGAGTTTACTGTATATTGCTCAATAGTCACATAGGATATAAATCCCTATAAAAGTAGCAGTGATATCTTCACTGTGCTGTGCATTACCTGTGCAGTCAGCAGAGCAGCAGGAGGGGCCCAGCAAGCTCCACCTACTACAGGCTGCCTGCAGAAAACTACAGGAGGGGGCGGAGACAAGACCAGCCACCTCGCACAAGGAGAGAGAGCAGCTGTGACCGGTCTTTACTACAGGAAGCTCCAAGTTTCAAACTGGATTACTGCACAGATCTGGAAGAAATACACACAGAACACCAAGATTCAAGTTAGAATACACACGGCTCTTGTCTTTAGACAATATTTGCTTACCCCGGAGTTCAGCTTAAAACTATAAAACACTTTACTTTCTACAGTATTCACTAGTGACATTAGGTAGTGAATAGGCGAATAAGGAGAAATCGAGGATGTACTTAGGTAAGAGCTCTTTGATTAGACCCCGTGGGGTATTGCATAGGAAGTAATGTAATGTCCCTTTAGTGACTGGCTTGTACCAGGACTGTCTCTCGGGGAACTGTACATACAGTGGAGCATTGACGTTCTCCAGCACAGTGTTGGCATCCTCCCTCAGCCTCTCATAGGAGCCTATGAAGTCATAGGTGACAGCACAGGGCTGGCACAGGTTATAGATGGGCATCCAGTGCTCGTTCATCTTCTCCACGTCCTCATCCAGCAGATAGCGGAAGAACTCGGAGAAGGTGACATCCTCCCCCTGGGACACGCCTGGGTTCTCCCGGTACCTCTTCACTATCTCCATGCCGTACTTCTGCTGGTATTCTTTAATCTCTCCGAACTTATTCCTGTAGGCAGACAGCAGCCTCTCCATGGGCTCTCGGACAAAGAGAAACTTGTAGTAGTACTGCAGGCGGTATCTGATCTCCTCCACTGAGAGGTCAGACAGAAAGGTCAGGTCGCTCAGGTGGTCCATCTTCAGCTTGACATCCACGTTCTCCAGGTGGCCATCTAGCACCTTGATGACCCTCTTCCAGTTGGAGCAGGCCACCTTGGGCACGTAGCAGTAGAGGAACTTGTAGCGGTCATTGACGATGATGTGCTTGAGCAGGGTCCGGCGCTGGCTGGGCGGCAGATCCCAGGGGCTGCGCGGCATGCTCTTCTGGCCGCAGACGCTGCTCATGGTCCGGTTGCGGATGTCCTGCAGGATCTCGTAGTCCAGGTCCTCTCCCCCGTGCGCCACACTTCGGATGCGGGAGCGCCACCCCGGGTCCCCCCGTGGCGGAGGGGTCTTCACATCGGCCAGGATGCCCTTTTCGATCATCAGCAGTAACCCGCACGATGCCAAGATCACCCCAAACATCAGCATGGAGGGCAGGAGGGTGCTGCCACCCCGGGGTCGGGACAGGGGATGAGAGGGGAATCGTCTCAGGGTGGGGGAGCCGCCACTAAAGGGGCCCACTGAGCCCATCTGGAACTGTTCAGGGAGCTGGTAGAGGGGGTGGGGGAACATGGCAGGGAGGATGCTAGTGCTTGGCTCTCCGCTCTTCCCCCGGGATGCGCCGCTGTACACAATACCCCAGAGCAGGCATTCTTCTCAGACTCAGCAGCGGCTCGTCATCTTCCCTGCCAGCACGGCAACATAGTCAGCATTGCGGGAGGAGACAATACGGGACACGGGGAGGGGAAGAGGTCACACAGCGGTCCGGCCTGTCCTCCGTCACCAGCAGCGGCTCCGTTCTATGATCATCCCTGAGACAGTTTGTGGAGAGGCCCAGAGAGGGCGTCACAGTCACGTGACCGCACCGGGGGCTGTGCAAGCGGCTCAAAGCTCCCCACACATGATGAGGAGAGTGTGGAGGGATCATACATCCTCTCTACAGTACATACAACTCCACGCATGATGAGGAGACTGTGGAGGGATCATACATCCTCTCTACAGTACATACAACTCCACGCATGATGAGGAGACTGTGGAGGGATCATACATCCTCTCTACAGTACATACAACTCCACGCATGATGAGGAGACTGTGGAGGGATCATACATCCTCTCTACAGTACATACAACTCCACGTATGATGAGGAGAGTGTGGAGGGATCATACATACTCTACAGTACATACAACTCCACACATGATGATAGTGTGGAGGGATCATACATACTCTGTACAGTACATACAACTCCACACATGATGATGAGAGCGTGGAGGGATCATACATCCTCTGCACAGTGCATACACCTCCACACATGATGAGGAGAGTGTGGAGAGATCATACATCCCCTGTACAGTACACACGACTCCACGCATGATGAGGAGAGTGTGGAAGGAGCATACATCCTCTGTACACCCCACTCCACACATGATGAGAGCAGAGTGTGGAGGGATCATAAAACCTCTCTACACCCCACTCCACACATGATGGAGAGGGGAGTGTGGAGGGGACATACAGACCTGTCATACACTGTATTGCCAAAAGTATTGGGACGCCTGCCTTTACACGCACATTAACTTTAATGGCATCTCGGTCTTAGTCCGTAGGGTTCATAAGTACCATTCTCCTGGCAAACGCCAGACCCAGCAACAGCCACAGCCATCGGATTGCCAGACAGAGAAGCGTGATTCATCACTTCAGAGAACACATCTCCACTTCTCTAGAGTCCAGTGGCAGCGTGCTTTACACCACTGCATCCGACGCTTTGCATTGCACTTGGTGATGTAAGGCTTGGATGCAGCTGCTCGGCCATGGAAACCCATTCCATGAAGCTCTCTACGCACTGTTGTACCGTTCTGAAGGCCACACAAAGTTTGGAGGTCTGTAGCTATTGACTCTGCAGACAGTTGGCGACTTCTGCGCTTCAGCATGCGCTGACCCCGCTCTGTCATTTTACGTGGCCTACCACTTCATGGCTGAGTTGCTGTTGTTCCCAGTTGCTTCCACTTTGTCATAATACCACTAACAGGCGACCGTGGAATATTTAGAAGCAAGGAAATGTCACGGATGGACTTATTGCACAGGTGGCAACCTATCACGGTACCACACTTGAATTCAAGGAGCTCCTGAGAGCGACCCATTCTTTCACAAATGTTTGTAGAAGCGTCTGCTTGTCAAAGTGCTTGATTTTATACCCCTGTGGCCATGGAGGTGATTGGAACACCTGAATACATACATCCTCTGTACACCCGACTCCACACATGATTAGGAGAGAAGAATGTGGAGGGATTATACAGACCTGTCATAGCGGTGTCCACCCGGCTCCACACATGAGGAGGCAAGTGTGGAGGGATCATACATCCTCAGTACACCCCACTCCACAAATGATGCGGAGAGGGGTAGTGTGGAGGGATCATACACCCGACCAGGGCAGGTATCTTACACAGCATCAGGCCTGCCCCCCCCCTCCCCCCCCTTACCAACACTGCACAGGCCTGTACACTGGCTGTCCCATCGAGCCTGCCACTGGGGTGACACTGCACTAGTAACAGGTGACCACGGGCACTACCCATGGGCCCGATCAGTCAGTCTGCCCCTGGCGTCTGCAGTTTTGGTGTTGTGCTCAGGGGGAATTGGGGTGTGCGCACGCCTATGTAAATGACAATGCAGAATGGCACCAGCTGCAGAGGACTACAAATCAATAATTTTAAAAGTCCCCACCTAATGCCTCTTCTTGCCCTCTGAGAACCCCCCCATCGGCCCCAGTTCAGCCAGTTGGTGTCTCTCTCACACCCTCGCTAGCATCGGTCAGTCGGTGTCTCTCTCACCGCCCCCGCAGAGGTGGTTGGTCGGTGTCTCTCTCACCGCCATTGCCCCCCACAGACGCAGTCAGTCGATCGGTGTCTCTCTCACACACACATCCCTCCAGTGTCGGTCGGTCGGTGTGTCTCTCACACAATCCCCCTCCCTGTAGTGTCGGTCGTTCAGTCGATGTCTCTCTCATCCCCCCACCCGGACATCTGCTTGAAAAAAACTTACCTTTCCACTCCAGCAGCTGTGCTCCGCTTCCGCCTTCAGTGCTTCAACCCGGTACAAAAAAAAGCTCCGCCCCCTGAAAAAGAAAAAAAATCCCAGCAAAACATTATACAGCAATACAGAATAATAGTATATTAAATTGCTACATGCTCTTTGCTGCTCTACGCTGGGGTGTCAGTCGGATGTCTTGGTCAGAAGGTCTCAGATAGGGTGGGGAGGGTCTTAGCAGGGGGGGATGTGCGGATGGCGGAAGAGCTGTAAGCAGGCACCATGTGGTTCCCCAGAAGGCTGCTGCGTGGTCCCCAGCAAACGTGGGATCTAACACAGCCGAATCAATTTGAAAAATGAAAGCGCCGGTATCAGTTTTTAGTATCAGGGCACTCTCACCAATACTAGTGTAGCGCCCTCTAAAATGTCGCTATTCAATTTAGAGATACCTGGACTGTAACCAGTCTAGATACTGATTATACAGAGCTCTGCATTCTATAGGTGTCCCTGAATCTGCTGGATCGATTGCTCCTCCTGTTGCTGAGGAAAAGGGAGCCTTGGCATACAGTGAGGGAGGATCCATCCTCAGGTTATGACTATGCACCTGGCCCTAGCCAATCCCTGAGTAGGATGACTCAGAGGCATGGTTGAGGGCAGGTAATAAAAGGTCTGGGGACATTGTGGAGAGCTCTCTTCCCCCTAGGGGCCTTGCCCTAGGAGGACTGTGTGTGATGCAGAGCAAATGGCCTGGGCCTCAACGCCTCTCCCCTTCTGCTTTTTCTGTGAAGAATTTATAACACAGAGTGCAGAAGTCAGCGGTGTGATGCACGGTGCAGAGGTCAGCGGTGTGATGCACGGTGCAGAGGTCAGCGGTGTAACACAGAGTACAGAAATCAGTGGTGTAACGCACAGTACAGAGGTCAGCAGTGCGATGCATAGTAGAGAGGTCAGCGGTGCAATGCAGAGTGCAGAGGTCAGTGGTGTAACACACAGTACAGAGGTCAGCTGTGTGATGTAGAGTACAAAGGCAAGTAAAAACGCTAGTGCTGAGGTGAGGGTGTGAAGCACAGTGCAGAGGTCAGCAGTCTAACACATTGCAGTGCAGTGGTCAGTGATGTATGCACAGTACAAAGGTCAGTAATAACGCACAGTGCAGAGGTCAGCAGAGTGACGCACAATGCAGAAGTCTGCAGTGTAATGTAGAGGTCAGTATGTAATGCAGTGCAGAAGTCAGCAGTGTAATGTAGAGGTCAGTATGTAACGCAGTGCAGGGATCAGCGGTGTAATGTAGAAGTCAATATGTAACGCAGTGCAGCGGTGTAACGCAGAGGTCAGAATGTAATGCATTGCAGAGGTCAGTAGTGTAATGTAGCGGTCAGTATGTAACCCAGTGCAGACATCAGCAGTCAGTATGTAACGCAGTGCAGAGGTCAGCAGTCAGTATGTAACGCAGTGCAGAGGTCAGCAGTCAGTATGTTACGCAGTGCAGCAGTCAGCATGTAATGTAGTGCAGCTGTCAGCATGTAACGCAGCAGTATGTAACGCAGTGCAGAGGTCAGCGGTCAGTATGTTACGCAGTGCAGCAGTCAGCATGTAATGTAGTGCAGCTGTCAGCATGTAACGCAGCACAGAGGTCAGTATGTTAAGCAGTGCAGAGGTCAGTATGTTACGCAGTGCAGCGGTCAGCATGTATCGCCGTGCAGAGGTCCGCATGTAATGCAGTGCAGCTGTCAGCATGTAATGCCGCGCAGAGGCCAGTATGTAATGCAATGTAGCGGTCAGTATGTAACGCAGTGCAGAGGTCAGTATGTAACGCAGTGCAGAGGTCTGTATGTAACGCAGTGCAGAGGTCTGTATGTAACGCAGTGCAGAGGTCAGTATGTTACGCAGTGCAGCAGTCAGCATGTATCGCCATGCACAGGTCAGCATGTAACGCAGTGCAGAGGTCAGAATGTAACGCAGTGCAGCTGTCAGCATGTAACGCAGTGCAGAGGTCAGTATGTAACGCAGCACAGAGGTCAGTATGTAACGCAGCACAGAGGTCAGTATGTAACGCAATACAGAGGTCAGCGGTCAGTATGTTACGCAGTGCAGCAGTCAGCATGTATCGCTGTGCAGAGGTCAGCATGTAACGCAGTGCAGAGGCCAGCATGTAACTCAGTGCAGCTGTCTGCATGTAACAGTGCAGAGGTCAGCGGCCAGTATGTAACGCAGTGCAGAGGTCAGCATGTAACATAGTGCAGAGGTCAGTATGTAACGCAATGTAGCAGTCAGTATGTAATGCAGTGTAACGGTCAGTATGTAACGCAGTGCAGGGGTCAGTATGTAACGCAGTGCAGCGGTCAGTAACGCAGTGCAGCAGTCAGCATGTATGCAGTGCTGAGGTCGGCGGTCAGTAACGCAGTGCAGCAGTCAGCATGTAATGCAGTGTAGCGGTCAGTAACTCAGTGCAGCAGTCAGCATGTAATGCAGTGCAGCGGCCAGTAATGCAGTGCAGAGGTCAGTAACGCAGTGCAGAGGTCAGTAACGCAGTGCAGAGGTCAGTATGTAATGCA